CCCCCCCACCGCACCCCACCTTCTGACTCTGTTTCTGCTCCACCGGCCACAAAGGCTGCATACTTTGTGCATGTGGCTAGAGCTGACTGCAAATCATTGAGGTGAACAAATAAGGTAGCCTCAAGATAGCTAGTGTCCCTCCCTATTTGTTGAAGCTAATTCTGCACAGTGCCATAAGGTGTGTGTTGAGTGGGTGTTACCCGCTTTACTACATTGGGGTGGAGGGTGTTGTTTTATTTGTTATTGTACTGAATCCCAGCACACCGTGTAAATGTGGTAATGGGTAATGTAAAGCATAACATTAGATTACTACCACCTGGTGCTACTGATGCTGCGTCTGCTCCTGCTGCAGTACCGCTACCTGCCGCTGGATGCCACCGATGCATCCTGAGCACATTCAGCGCTCTCCATGGTGCTGAAACAATTACCAGAGCAAATCCTCAAATGCGCAATCTAAAGCTTAATGTGCAAAAAGTGTGCTTAAAGAAATTTAACCCAGCCTACATTGTAATTATAACCCGCTGTAATCACGGGCATTAAATAATGTGTCAAAACAGCTGCCGTCGCTCATTTCACCCATGGGTAGAGAAATACTGATGACCCTTTCAAATCCACCTGTGGGACTGAGTCACAACAGGGGGCTTTGATTAGCTGCGTGGGGGAAAGGTGTGCAACAGTTAACTGTACATACTTTGCACAAACTGAAGGAAAAAGACAGTGAAGCACGGAGCGATGTTTCAGTGCTCCTCATGGGAGAGTTGTGGGATGGCGTCATGCAGAGGTGAGTGCGACGCGGAGGGTCTCGACCATCCAGACCTGTCCATCGCTCCAGTGTCGAGGGACCAGCATCAAGTCAGTCACCGGTAGCTACAATGATACAGGAAATAAAATGAATTACCTCACAAATAAAAGAAGTACGTGTGTTTGTTAAAGAGCTTTTCAATTTATATGCTCGACGGAAAATTGGCTAATGAGATTGTCAGAAAAAAAACTTCATCTGGGAGACAGCCCAAATTCTCCAGCGTGTATTGTACAGCCAAATGAATAAGGAGCGAAAATTTCAGAGAAGGAAAAAATCACCTCACGTTTTTCCAAATCTAAAGGGAAATAAATAAATAAATGAATACATTCTTATTTTCTTCTATATTTACTTACATTTATACTTCTAGTTAATAGTTCCGTTGTGTCTGTAGACCCTTTCAGAATATAATTAGGCAACATTAGTGTCTGTTTGTGAAGGACTGTGATTGTAATTTGCAATTTGGATGTTTGACATTCGCGCTTGGATTTTTCTTCTTTTAGTGTTTGTCCCCACTGTTAGAATCGGTTGCTCGTTGGCGGGGCTATTATTTTGAAAAGATTAGCCGGACGTTCAGCACTTCACCTGAGCCAGCTCGCCTCGTGAGAGCTGAACGGTAAGACCGGCTGGCTGGTTGGCCACACTCGCGCTGGGTGCGCTGCGAAGTTAAATCGACTACGAAGCTGTCTCTCCTCTTTTAAAACCAAGAAAGCGAGCGAATATACCGACCGACAAACAAACATCTTCCCTCACATGTTTTATCAAACGCCATTTTTTGTGCGTTTTTTCTTTTTTTTTCTTTTTTGGTGAAGGACTCCAGAGCTTCGGCGCAACCCGCGGCGACTTCTCCTTCACCGTGCTCGCCTGGAGACGGAATATAACGCATAATGACATTTTCACTCCCGGATAAAGAAGCTCACTGAATGAAACTTTAGACTTTTTCTTCTGGATAGGTGAAGAAGCTCCGCTGTTTATTTTTCTATCTGTAGAAAAGGCGTGTTGTGCTGTGGACCGCTGTATGGGACGCACTTAAAAATGGTCGGTCACCTTAAGTTCCAGGTCGGGAGGTTAACAACGATGTCAGGACTCGCTGGTTTTGGAAAATGATTGCTGGCAGCACCGACGCTAAAATAATGGTCAGAAGATGTCTAGTAACGTTCAAACCGTTCAGGTGAGAACAAAGAGCTGACACAGTTTTCTTATAGCCGCCAGCATCGTGTGCATCCCCCCCTCGCTGCTTTTATGTTTAGCATGCAGTTTTATTTTTTGCTTGTTTTGTTTTTTGCTTTGTTTTTCTGACTGACTCAACTTCTGGCTGCACAGAGTTGCAAAGCCCTGAAAAATACAGTAATTCGGCAATGTGCACATGGAGGGCAGGGAAGGAGTGCATACATGTGTTGTCACTCATCAAAACACCCACACACCAGATGTTCCTCCTATCAATTCCACCTAAATCCATATGGATAAAGACTGTAAATGTTGATAGAGCGTCTGCACTATTTGCAAACCGTGCTCTAACTTGCTGTAGTTTCATATTGCGTGGATCGATGATCTACACCTGTGTGGCTCTGTTGCATTGGACAGGATTCCTTACATATGAATAAAAGAGTTTATACTCAACTGAGCAGATCTCTGTCAGCCCTTCCTATTAAATTTCCTCTGATAGTGGCAGATTTTAAATCCTTAAGGTAATCCTTCCCCCTCCCTACAATTTGCCTTATACCCAGTTTCCATTGCTGAAAGTGTTACATGTATGTAGTAGGGTAAGGGAGCAAAGCTGTGCAATCTTTGGAAGAAAAAAAAAAAGGGGTGGGGGTAGTAGGATGGGGGTGGGGTGATGGTTACATTCATGTTGCATGGAATTACTTCACCTGCCATCTACTCGGTAGATCAAGCATTAACTCAGAAACACATTCAGCTAAGCAGCTTTGTGATAAAGCCACACTAACCTCGACAGCACAGACAATGAGCGCTTGTTGCAGATTTGTGTAGTATCACATTTGAAATTATGCCAGATTCCATTATGTTTTTCCCTTAATTGAGAAAAAAAAAGCAGGTTGGTGAGATGAAGGTTCCCAGGCTCAATGCACAGATCCCCGAAAAAGCACAATAGTTGCAGTACATTAACCTTAAGTGATACCCCAAGGCTCAAGCCAAAAAAAAAGTGCCAAAATGATACATGTGGAAACATAACCTCCAGTGAATTTTTATATGGTTCCGTTTCTGTGTATTAACTCCACAAATTAGGAGTCATTATGAGAATTTAGGCTCATTTAGGTGCCAGGAAAAGTTTCCTGGAAAACACCACAACTAACACCTATTCCCTACCATGCCTGGTAGAAATTCTCTCCCTTCAAAATCATCTACCTAGAGGCAAAATCTGATAAGTATATTTGTGAGGAAGCCAGTTAACTGATAGCACATCTCTCCCTCTGATCCAATTATAAGGAGCAGAACATTCACTTTAAGCCTGTTAATTAAAGCCTCGTCAGGCAGGACCGAGGCATAATCCTCTCATATCACCCACCTAACGCCACTTCGCAAAAACGGCTAAACGATAAGAGAGGAAACGTTTGCCCTAGGACAGCATTAGACCAGCCTCTGCACTCCCGCGTGAGCTGAAAATCTCTTTTTCTCTTTCCATTAGCCTGTTTCTTACAAACATCACTGCCTCTGCCTCATCCTCTGCACACTCACACACACAAAATATTCCTGCATCTGGGATAAATTATAAAGAAAAGATAAAGTGGATTTAAAAAAAAAAA